GGCTTTTCAAAAATGCCCACCTTCGATAACGGAAAGACGGATGACTTAGGTCGACACGAAGCTCCTTGCTAATGGTGTTATGGTGGACGGAGCATGGAAGAAACTACACAAAAAACCGACATGTGCTGTTCATATGATGCATGTGCTTGCTGCCATATAGCATGTGTTAATAAATCATACCATGAACCAAACCAAAATTGGACCTGTGATCAACGCGGAAGCCCCTGAGGGCTGTACCATGTAGGCTTATGTTCAAAGACGCTTTCCTTGAATAGCGCCACGTAGAGAAGAAGAGCCAATCGAGGCGTTCCGTGCTATGCAACTTGTTTATATTTGTACTAAAGATTATAGATATAGACATCCGATTCTAACAATCAGTTATCAAACGAGTTGTTACGTAAAATCTGCTCGCAGGATATCGACTCCGACAAGTGAGGACGCCGAACGTTTATTTCGATGACATTTATATTAAGAATCTTCTAAGATTCTATATGGTTGAAACGTTGTTGTTTAGTTTGCGATTGGATTGCGAAGAAGAGCAAATGCTTTCTACTATATTTTAAAGGAGTACGCAGGAGCCTCCATCACAACCACAGTTATTTTGATATAAAAATGACGAATCGCTCTCTACTGCGACATTCTAAGGGGTCTATATTATATGGAGCTTCAGGCACTTGGTCTCGAAGTCAAGAACCTGATGTGACGTTTGCGAGAATATCCAGGCTACGCACAACGCCAAAAAGTTTTCAATCGATGTTAGAAACATGGAGGGCCACTCACAGTGGCATCGCGTGACGCGCGGCTGACATAAAACACAGCGTAGTGACTGGGTGACCTTATTATAAATCAAAGATTGGAAAAGTCTTCATTTATTCCCATAGAATTTCCAAGGGGAACAGCCTAAAGCAGCCAAGTAACTATCTTAAACAAAAAAAAAGAACTTAGCAGGTATAGAACTTAAAGTGTGCTTTGTAATTACATGTAGTTTCTTCATATAATCGCAAACTCGCATGACGAAGTTTGCGTATCGAGGCGCTCAACAAAAAACGTTACACAAAATGTAAACATTCTGTTAGGCTTATAGGTATCTATACGAAGTGTTACACAGAGCACTCTAGTTATACGGCTTTTTAACTAACTTTTCTTCTATAAAGCGGCATTTGCATATCTTTTGGTAGTATAATTTCGAAGAGCCAAGGGTCTGATGGGGTAATTTCCTTCATATACAAGCATGATGAAAGTCCTCAGACCATGACAACGCGTTTCACTTCCGTCATTTTTATACTTTGATTATGTTAAATGAACGGGCAAAGCAGAACGAAACAGGTTAACTAAGACCTGCAATAGTCAAACTGGAAACTGATAGTTTCTCTGCGAAGCTAATGTATTAAACAGCAGGTTCCTTCTTAATTAACGAACACTTCACCTACACAAAAGACTGTTGATACTAATTTCATACAGTGACTCCCTAATTTAACTTTATTATTTTATCTAACTATTTAAATTTCGATACAATATTAGAAAGCCTTTCAATCGAACGACTCTCATTGAGAGATAACAAGTTCAACTTGTGTTCAGGATTAGTCTTAGATTATTTCAAAGCATAATTCGCTCTATAAACTAGTTTAAGCCTGTGGGCAGCTTAAATCTCTGTTTGACGAACTTGCTGCCGTATAACTGTACTCTACCCATAGACCTCTGCCACGGCCTACTCAACTATACTTGACGTCTTATCTTGAAAAGGACTTCACCGACAACTGCATAGAGGAAACTTGCAGGTTCAAATGTCATCCTCTGAAAAAAAAGTCCAATATAGAAAGCCAAAAGGAAATCGGCCCTCCGAAAGAACCGACTGATTTCTGAACATGAATGATTGTGTTATAACTTGTTCGAGAAGAAGAGAGAAGAGTCGACCTTTGTACGGTAAACGCTGCGGAAAATCCACAATGCAAAAGGAGCCGAATAGTCGTGATTGCATCAAGAAGCCGTTATTGTGAAGGTTGACAATGCCCATCTCGCCATTAAATCGGCTTGCTCGTGAGTATGAAGATGCGTTATCTAAGATCGTAAAATAAGATTTACTACAAAGTGCGTCCGTCTGGCCATTTACTCTAAGTCAATTACTTTTCCATATCTGAGTCCATATAAAATTAGATTCGTATCGTCTTATAGTCATTTTATTCAAATTGACGTATCACTTCTTTACGGTGTGACCTTAAGCGACGTTCTAAGCTTAAGGACACCGTCGTATTTTTAACAAGCGACGTTGTTCTGTCCTCAAAGGTTCCCAATTTGCCGATTGTTCTGGCGGGTAGTGAAACCCCCCAAGAGTAGTAGGATGATGATGTTCGCGTCGCGACTGTTCTCGAAATATTTATTTCTGAAGTTTGCTTAGTCGCTTGCTTTTCTTTATTATTTCGGAAGTTCAATTTTGAAATTAGCTGAGTTTTCGAGAACTAGCCCTAATTAGCAGAGCATTATATTCAAAACCGATCCCATGCGTAAAACCATACGTTACTTCTTACAAAATACTAATACAGCCAATTCGATTGTGACTATTTGTCACTTTAAACATTTTTTCTTAGCTTTCTGAGAATACTTTGCAGAATTTTGGACAGGACATCGGACAGGGGATTAGCTAAATAGTGCGCTTTGAACCTCAACGAATAAGTTATTCTTAACCCAGCAGTGTAAAAGTTCACTGATTAATTTATAAAATTAATCAGTCACATTCGAATGCTGCCATTGGCAGATTTCCCGACTACACGATTATTAAGCTTAAAAATTCGGTGCTGACTGGCTCAGCTTTATGCTTTTGTTATGGAAACACTGTTTCAGCTCTGGAAGACTTTTCTGATATTGATATTTATGTACTTATTTAGACAGCTATTTTAAAAGGGCTGGTTCGATTCCGAAAACAGATCTGGTTGAAGTCACTCGAGTCGCTGGGTCAAGTAAATGTAAGTATGGAGAACGAATGTGCAGTATCAGAGTAAATCAGGGGTCATATCATATACCAATGGTACGATAGTATCACGTATCAGAAGACCGGGCAAAGAATCTGAAAAAGACGCGAAGCAGATCCGAAATATCAGTAAGGCCACTGGTCCTTACCGTACCGTTAGGCCTAGACAAGCTAGCATGATCAGTAAGATCGTCGAAAACATGCGATCACGCTTATTGATAAGTTTACAGTGCATAAAGCTATTAGATGGATTATATCACGCAGTGTCTAAATGTTAGACTAGTATTTCATAACGTATGTATGAATATATTATGATATATTTTGATTCTATCAGAATTAACCGATAAGACCGCTGGTGACGACTTTTATAAAGTGGAAAAACTTTTTTGGCATTAGTCACAGTTAAAAATGGAATAAACCTTTAACATTAAACATTTCCCCCTTGGGATTTTACTGAAGTTATTTTATACTACATTGCTCCGGAACGATATAGAAACTTTTTATTAGACAGATAACTTTGACCATAACCGCTAAAATAAAGCCGATCCAAATAGTTCTTCAATGCTGTACATTTACTAATGGCACGTTTCAATGCGTGACAAAGTGTACAGAATTAATTAAATTTGATGAACAAACGGATGTATGGAGTCCTACAGGTCCATACCAGCGTTTCCATGGTTAACTCTGCCCGCCAGGTAGAAAAACCTGTTTGTGACGGTGAAAAGCAGTTGTCTGCACGCATCAAGGGTGAACTTGTTGTCATCCATTAGCCTCCAAATTGTTTGAATTCGGGAAGCAGTTGCGAAGTTCGGTATAGGATGCTTTTTACTTCTAACAGATAAGATTACCGAGCGCTATGCGCGTATCAGTGCCCACGCAGAGCTTAAAAACAGTGCGCTCTCATCCAAACCATAACCAGCGACGACCACCTTATTCATAACGACCTCACCGAGGTTGATAACAGTTTTACCAAATACAAAATTTTCGTTAGAAAAAACCGGGATCATTCTCGATGCAACAGATGAAATCTGCATGATCTACCTGTATTACAGGAAATGCGTCTTCTGGACCAGCATGTATTGGTGTATGGTTAACTTAAATAGGTAAATCATTGTCAAAGAGCTGACCATGGGCGGAAAAAAAGCCAAAATAAAATAGATTGGTTTCGTTTCACTTGCGTCACTTGGGATGACGAATAGATATTTTGCAAAAAAAAAAAAAGCGAAAAGAACAACGCGGATAGTACTTACCAAGTTGCTGCGTGACGCAAACTCTGATTTTAAAAAGGTCATACTGTGAATTTGGTGCGATTGAAATAAGTCGATCTAATGAAGATTACTCTTAGGAAATGCCAAAACCAGCCATGGAAGGCATGGATAAGGGAAAACAATATCCACTTAAAGGGCTCTTGGGCGAAATTTCATTTCGCTTAAGGATCAAATGAAAACCGTTACCGAGTGTCATGGGTTTACACAATATATAATCAAGCACTTATTTTTGTGTAACATTGTGCACATCTATATACGGTGTCAATATCTCGGATTGGTGCTACGCTTAAGGACTATGCGACCTGTTTCGTCCGGTGTGAAGCTGAAACGTTTTAGATAGTAAAACAGATTGAGCTTTTATTCTAGCCAAGTTCAGCAGCTCCTCTATGCAGTCCTATACGTAGACTAAAATTGCCGTAACTACCTCCTTATATTCGATAACGTGCATGTTTACAAGACGACGTATCTCGCACGTTATACACCCGTTTTAAAGCAGCTAAATTACAAACAGTACAGCTACCAAGTATTGCTAAATGACGCTCTGATAGCAACTGGTTAAGATTTTTCGTCACTTTCACTTTATGTACCCATCTTTCAGGCCTATACTAAACGTAAATTTGGTAATCCGCATAGAACGGCGATGACGAAAGGTACTTTCCTATCGCAAAATAGGCCGTCAGTGAACAAAAATTTGACAGTCTTAGCAATAATTAAGAACTGCCATTGCTTTGTTAAGCCTCAAGGGTGATGATCGGCGTTTCACCCACCTCGTTCTGTAGCGCTCAACAGGTCTTCTTAAATGATGCGGAATCTCACCGTCTAATCGAGCCTCCGTCACTAAAGTAACTGAAATTAGGACCATTAGAGGGAAGTATATTTGCGACCCGTACTCCCCTCTCTTCAATTCGACACCCGGAAGTGATGCGAGCCTCATTGTCGCCGTCAAGTATCAGTGCATCTTCTACCAAGGAAGCGTCGACAACAAGAGTTTTTCTTTTGTCTCACAGGTATATTCCAACGATACACAGTAAAGCCAGAGTTGTTTTTCTGTTAGCTTTGGAGGTTCACTTAACAGCTTGTTGGGAACTGAACACGACCAGTCACTCATTGGGCAATTCATGGCAATATCAAACGAGATACTGAAATACAAGGAACAAATGCATGAACGGGCTAAGCACTATCCTAGTCATTTTCCAAGTCAGTTTCACCTCAGCGTCTTAATTGTTTGCTATATGTCACAACAAACGTTTCATGTTCAAGGTAAACTTTATGAACGTACAATACGTCAGCGCTTTTATCGAATGTTTTAACAATTTGACGTGACAACAAGCGCTAGTACGCACCAAAAGGCGTTCGTCTGCACGCCACCGTTCGTTCCCAACGACTAGAAGAATGTATCAGGCTGCACTTAGGTTGTTTGGATCACAAGATTGGAGTAGATGAATGAAAAAAAGTAACCGCTAAGCTTTCGCCCTTTCCTCGAATGACCCTCTCCGTCAAGTTACACTTACACTGACCACACTTCTCTCACCCTCGCTAATCTATGGAGACTCATTCCCCTTTGATTTTATATGCAGGTCGTAAATATGGGAAACATTCATTCGAACGAGTTGTTGAATCTGGGTCGGTATGAGATTGATTTCTCAATCATGAGGCGATTGGGTCAGGAATTCTGCAGAATTCTGCTTTAAAAATAGACCGAGAGGCGATGCTGTGTCCGACGTTCGAACAACGCTGTCTAATTATTAATAGTAAGGTAATATAATAAGCAAACTAAAGCACCTAAGTCGTATATGCGGGTCGTCATACAGTGCGGTGAAAAGTAACATACAATGCACGATAAGCCATCTAGCAAATTGTATGCTAACCTTTGCTAATCGGTACTTCGATTTGAGACGCACAAGTTATTGCCATTCTTTAACTCGTCAGCTTTAATATATGGTGCTATCTATCAATGCGCCCCTTAGGTTTCTTATGGATAATTTTCTTATAGAATTGATGTGAGCCATTCTCCGTACGGTTATGTGTTGCAAAATCTACTAAACTAAATAATACGTGTATATTAAAAGCACTCTCTATTAATATTTGTGTCAGGGTCGACCAGAAATGATAGAGGGGCCTAATCATTATGGGCCTGTAACAGAAAATGACACCGTTTGGCCTGCTACATCTTCTCAATTCGTATTTAACATGTTTTAGATATTTACATCGACGATCTTCACTCAAATCTTGAGATAACAGCGTTTTGAGGCGAAACGCTAGTTGGAAGGGCGTCGATGGACCGAGTGGTTGGCGTTGGCTACGGAAATATGCGCTTTCCGACTCACGTTTCTACACCTAATTGCACACCATGGTGTCACTAGCTAGTTGTACATTGATTATTTACATTATTAATTTCCTGACATCGCCTCTATAGGACCCAAATAAGTTCCTATGTAGTGCTACGTAGATATCAAACGAATACTGCTTGTGTGTGCTGCTAGCGTTGCCCAGATAGAAACAGCATTTAGAAGATTCAACATATTCGTAGCATGGAAAATAAAAAATCATAATCTTGAGACAATAAAAATCAGATTATCACCACTTCGGCATAAAAAAAGACTTCACCTACTTGAATTTCGTTTATGATTGTTTCAAGACATCTTCGATAGTTTGAAGGGGGCGGAATTGTTTTCACGAACCTTTAACTCTTGTGACCTTTATTCTGGAAGTTAAATCCACACAGTTTCCAATTTAGGTAGTTTGTACGAACTTAGTACAGATACATTATTTGTCGACCGAGTGTATTTACAGAGAATACACCGTCTGAGAAGTATTTAAGAAAAATTAGACTTAACGTCAGCTTTACTCAAACAAGAGTGATTAGCTTAGAAACGAAAAGGGATCCGCGACACTAATCATCTTACCGCGTTCCTCCTTGAAACGTGAATTATCAACAAAAAGATGATCGGCCATGTTTGTGTTGACGAAATTATTTCATTGTAATGTTGTTATTTTCTTTTTGTTTGTCTTCGTTTAGGACCCCCTAAACACAGATTGCTTGCCAGTATTTGATATATACATACCCTGCTTTCTAGACTATAGACACACGTTCAATGCAAAATCTAAGGACGCTTATATCATTTAGAGATACCATGAGAGAAATATGCCACTTCAAATCAATCCATGTTTCACAGTTATTTACACATACATATCGGGTTGTGAGGTAAATGTACTCAGGATGAATTAACTAAAAAGATATGGTCATAGTCGAACGAAAACCGGAAGTCAGCTATTTTTATTCGAACAAAAAAAGTCGGAAAAAAAGAGATCCTCTTTAAAAGGCAGCCGTTAAATGCGACTCTTTAATTATATTTTTATTAGTAGAATTCAGCAGTCAGGAATCCGTAGAAATCGGACATCTAAACACTTGCGATATCTCAGACCGATCGAAGCGCCGTCGTCTCAGCATTTCGAGGAAAGATATGGGCATCTTATGAAAAATAGGCCAAAAAGCGTCTGAACAAAGCTAAGTAAACAAAACGTCAATATTCCGATTGAGGCGAATCTGAGTGTCCGCAAAATATGAAGATAGCTATATAGACAAATGCTAGAAACTTACCAATATTGCATTGAATATGGGAAAATTAAGCAGCTCGGGTCCTTATGCCTTGTGCCACTGTATCCCTTGTCGCGGCTGATGATGCCTTCCACCGCTACCGTGCAAACCAAAATGTGCCTACGTCAGGTTTCGAACCTGGCTTATTTGCGTTACCGCTGCTATACCATCATAAGACAGATACAGAATCGGAAATCTTGACTAGAAGAGGTACTCGGTATGAGCAGCGGATCTGAAACATCTAAGTGGTAGTGAAACACATAAGAATGGAAATGATATTATTATGATTAAACTCACTGATTTTAGAAAGTTATTGGCTGTTTAAGTTTCAAGTTGAAAGAGTTATTTGAAGAGATGTTTAAATTTGAGAAGTTGTTTAAATACGCATTGCTTGGACATTTTGCAGTCGACATCTTGCAATCAACAAGTCTGCAGACCGGATCGTAAGCAAACTGCCCGTGTAAAGTCGGGCAGGAGTTGAGCGTAGGCATTCAATGCTAGCTCCATAGCTATACTGACAATGAGACGTATGTGGGCTAATTCAAAAGGATCAAGCATATACAATCCGGATCTATTGATTTGTTCATAGTGAAGTTAAAAAAAAAGACTGAACATGAGGTGAAGTGTGGTAAGCAAACTATTCAATTCGGTTTCGGCAGAGAGACTTCTGAACAGGTGTATGCTGTATGGAAGAGAAACCTTTTTTGGCTCGATGGGACCGCCGGGAAAAGCGGTGCTAGCCCGAGATCCGTGAAATAATACATAAAATTCGAAAACATTAGCAGTCTATCATGAAAAGTAAAGCGCATACCTTTCAATATAGTTTACCGGGTGCTTTTCACGAGATAATATTTCATTAAGCACATATTCAAAGGTGAGAATGATCTTGAATTTGCACATGCACTACAGCAGAGTCTAGAACAGAAAATAGGAAGATGGCTATACCGAATTGGCATAATTGATTTTAGAGTAGTTCTTATAAAGAGCGCTCTGAATACATGTCACAGGACATCCCGCAGAAAAATAGTAAGAAGTAACCGGTTGCTTCATTTTAAAACGTGTCCTCATATCTGATTCAGTGCGTATGTACGCAAGTTCGCGATACTGCTACATAATACTACATTGATGTAGTAAAAAGAAAACACGCCAATAACGGAGAGTGGTTAAGAGGCGCCGAAAGCACTGCCGTGCTCCCAGATGCCTGTCACTTCAACAGCTTCACGAGGTAGACACCATAATATTCGTAAAAAGGTAAGAACGTGTTACCGTCAGTGCCTCTGGATAGCGGCGACATGGGTGGAACTAGCCCGCCATCGAATTAAAGCTGTATTTGTGAAAATCAGACATTTAATTCACCGATACCAACGGGTGTTATAAGTTTTACCTGTCAAACTGCCACAGCATTGCATCTGACGGCATATGACCTTTGTCGAAATAACGGTGTCGAGCAGAAGATCCACACGGCTTAGTCTAACAGGAAAACTCATTGCTTGTACTATCATTCGAACCAGCTTCAGGACGCTACGTCGTCTCGACAGCGTTTATTAGAAAATCGATTTGCCCCGGCAGTCCCCCAGGCATTAGAATTTACTATCTCAGACTTTCTTTTTATTTTAGCCCACGTGTACCTAGCGTACCGATGGATGCTCTCGCAGTAATGTCGATGATTTAGATATTGCATATTGAAAGGCTGCTCGGTGCGGGTTGAATTTCCTTTTCAATACATGTCAAGTCAAGTTCTGTGCTTTTGCTTCATAGCCATTGCAACAAAGGAAAGCCATACTTTATAGTATCATCGCTATATCGATAACGTCATCATTTCCTACAACCGTATTGACAGGTTAGTACCCTTTGGAACGTGTCGACGTAAAACGAATCTGGTTCTTCTTCAGTTTATATAGGCGATAGGCAATTTCAAAAGAATAAAGTTAACCTTTACTCAAGCATTCGTTCATTATTCAGAAATTAGAGGTTTCCTTACGATGATGCCTTTCCGGGTTAACGAATGAAAACATCAAAAGGAGACGAGCTGACCAACTAAGAGTTTTGACGCGTGACCTCCTGAGATTACGCTGTATCGTTGTATTGCGCGTCGTCTGCTATTAATAACACCAAACCAGAAACTCACAATCAGCTCAGTGGCATAACGATGACCTCTAACGTTGTTCTCTTACGTCTTTTGACTTTCTCAAATAAACAGTTTTATACCGCTGACGTATAGAAGGTTATCGAGTTTGGCGAAAATTAACAGTATCGACTTATTGTTATATGAAGAATACTTTATATATATATATAGCTTATACAAGCGGCACTTTAGCCTAAGCTTACACCCGTAAATAACGCTTGGCGCACGGTTACTATTAAACAGTAACTTATTTTAAAAAGAATAAATATTTTGAAGGTAACTAGTTGGTGGTTTAGGTCCCAGATTGAAGCTGCAGTCTTAGTGGATTATATTGAATGCACGTTTATAAACTTTAACGCACAGATATTTATTAAAAGATCTGTTACATCTTATTAACTTATCGTATCTTACTTAGCATCGTGTTTCAACGCCGAAAGGTAATTAAAAGCAGGATTTTGTTGTTGAAATAACCTTGGACGTTCCGTTTTCTGTGTTTCAGTAATTCAAAATAGTAACAATTATGGAGCCTAATGATTTATCTTCCGTTAACGCTTAAATCGAGAGCTGCAGACGAAAAATTCGAGTAAATTCCTGTTGCGCAAGTCTGTGCTCGTACTCCAAAATTTATCT